CCACCAAGGAGTCCGCGATCAGCCCCCAGCTGGCGGCAGCGATCAAGAAGGCCTTCCCCAACGGCGGCTTCGAGGCGCTCAAGAAGAACGTGTCCGACGCCGCCGTCGGCGTCTTCGGCTCCGGCTGGGCGTGGCTCGGCGTCCTCCCCGGCGGCGGCCTGGCCGTGACGACGACTGCCAACCAGGACAACCCCCTGATGGGCACCGCGGTGACCAAGGCGCTCGACGTCATCCCCATCCTCGGCATTGACGTCTGGGAGCACGCCTAGTGAGCCTCTACGCGACCCTGCCCTGCCCTGCCCTGCCCGCCCGCTCTCGTGGGCGCCCTCGCCCTGCACCCTGCTCCCCACGCGCCGCTTGTGCAGCCCGGGCCCCTGCCCCTTTGCCAGGCTTGACGCACGTCGCGCCGCTCAACCAAGGAGCCCCTCAAATCCTGAAGTTTTGCCTGCGCCCCGCGGGCTTGCTCGGAGGAGTGGGTTGCTGCCGTCGTCCGCTGACCAAGCGCCGTCTGTCGTCGCCCCTGCACCTTCCCCGCAGCTACGTCGACCAGGGCCCCGCTCGCAAGACCTACGTCGACGCCTACTGGAGCGTCCTGAGCTGGTGGGCGCGGCAATTCGTGTGCGCTTTTTGTACATGCTTTGCGAAGACTTGGGCCCGACGGCCTCGTGCAGCCCGCCTCATGCGGCCGTCTTTTGAGCGCCACAACCGGGCTGCCCCTTCTAGCGTGTCTGAGCCTGGCGAGCTGATCATCATACCTTGTTATGCACACCCGGCCTCGTGTGTCCCCACCAACCGCAGGCCCCAGGTCAGCAAGAACTACGCCTCGGCCGTTGCCGGCAAGGTGGAGGAGATCGCGGCCTAGATCACCGGCTGATCGAGATCGTGGGGACCTCTTCCCACGACTCAATCCCGCTGGGTTCGTCTTCCAAGGTGTAAGCAGCCCCGCCGCGTGGATCGTCACTTTGATGATTCCTTGGTTGGGCGGCTGCCCGAGAGTCGGATGCGCAGCGCAGCGGTCAGCATGGGGTGGCGCGGCGTTTGGGCGGGCGGCGTGAGGGGACACAGGCCGGTGAGCAGAATGTACCCGCGTTGATGAATCTGCGGGGCATCGTGTCGCGGTTCGCTTCAGGACCAAGCACGGACGTTATGACGCAGCTGTGCGCAGAGATGCTTGCTGCCGGCAAGGCTTCGCACGCAGCCTGCCTGCTGCCTGCCCGCCTGGCAGACCGATCGGGATCTGACGCTGAGCTGGCTTTTTTGACCGCGCATCAGACGGGAGGGGCTTCCGGGGGGCACGGCTAATGCAACTTCAATGGTGCATCTCGCTGGAAGGGTCATCGCTTGAGCATCCGCACAGCACCACCGACTTGTTTTGGCGGGGGCCTTGCCTGCTTTTATCTGCACATGTGCGCGCGCCTGTGGCTGGCAACCGCATTGTTGCACCAATAATCACTGCGGCGCGCAATCGCTCAGCAGCTTTGATCAATCTGTGGTGTAAGCATGTGCCTATTACTTTGGTGGTGTTGCTTTGGGATGTGCCTGGGTTGGTGGCCCGAATGTGCTGCGATACAGCACCGTGCCCATCACATGCGCGCTGCATGCGACAGCTCAGCTGGCTGCTGTCCGACCAGCTGCAGGGCTACCAGAATGTGCATAATATGGCAGGACATATTGCTGTCTGGATTGAATTTATGGGGCGATGCGCAGCATGCATGACTGTGGTCAACGTGCGCTGTACGCGACTGTTCACTGTCCCAGAGACGTCCACACCTCTGCGAGCCCTTGGCTGGAATGACGGGAATTGTTCAAGGGTGCTACAGTACGGTACCAGGTAGCAGCACGGCATCACCGCCTGTCTCTGCACGCATACAAAACTCCACAGCTATTATTTGTTGATTGTGCTCAGCGTTTCCAAGGATTTGGCATCCTGTGCACCGATCTGGAGTCAGATCTACGCTCACGTGGATCGCGATATTAGTGGGGCAGCCGCCAGCATGAAGCTAAGTGCCAACATGATGGCGGGGAGTGGCTTGCACCGCGGGCATACAGCTAGGCCGAGCAGAGCCGGGCCTCAGTGCGCACTTCCCAAACAAAACAGCAGCCTGAGCAGCGTGAATTGCGAATCAAGCCAGGTAATTTGGCATCCCGCAGCGGGCGCGGTAGTGGCGGCACCGCAGGCGCAGCAGGAGCAGCAACGGCAGCAGCGGCAGCAGCAGCAGCGGCAGCGGCAGCGACCCCGGCTGGTGATGGCACGCTCGGGCTCGAGCCGCTACCCCAACCAGGCAGACAGCGTCTTCAGCCCCAAGGATAGGGAAGATATGAACATCGGGCTGGCGGAGCGGGTGGCAACGCGCAGCGTCAGCGACCTTGACTATTTGTCGGTGAGACTCATGGGCGTGTCAGCAGGCCTGCTCGAAATTCAGTGTGGCGGCGTGGCATCTCGCACTGATTAAAATATGGCACAGCTACTGCATGGGATTGTGCCTGAGTGCACGATGCCGCAGCTTCCTGTAGCTTTCAAGACGTGCTTCTCGTTGTCATGGGCGGCCGGCCAGACGCACGAACAGCTGCCAGACACTTTAAACGAGCGCATCCTGTGTCGTAATGAGCGGGCATCAGGGCAGCAGCAAATCCCATGGGGCCGCAACATGCGAGCATGCACCTCATTCCTAGCCAGCAGCTGCAAGGCAGGCAGCACGGTGGCCCTTTGCAGACACAACCTGCGATTCACGAGGCACCCAAGCACAGCATGGGGCTTGGTTGGCCGCATGCCAATTGACGTTTGTGCAGTCAGTGACAGGCACGCCAATGCTTGCCAGCTGGCACAAGCGCAGGCTGTAAATGGGTCTGTTGAGGACCACCTGACTGGCTGCGGCATCGGCGGGTTGCAGCGGTGCTCGCATCTCACCCACAGCCTCACATGCACTCCCATTTGGTTACTCCCCTCATACATGCCTCCTCCCCTTGCCACATACATGCACCCAACCCTAATCATACACACACGCACACACAACACGCCTCCCGGCCCACCTCCATACACACGCTTCTTGCCCCTCACCCACACCCGCGCAGTCGCGCGTCCACCCCTCACATGTCC